ATAACAAGTGCCAGAAATTACCACCACATATTCAGATTCACAAGTTGACAATGTGATGATGACTTGCTTCTTAGCACTCCATATAATTGCACAATCACCCATAAAAAATATAAAATCAGTTGTACTTTTTCCATCATCAACATTTCCAGCAAAATTACTATCACAAAATCCAACAAACTTAAAATTATTAGACAGTTAATAAAATAACCCAAAATCAATAATACCTTTAAGATACCATAGAATTCTTTTAACAACATTCATGTGAGAGGTGGTACGAACTTCCATAAAACAAGTTATTAGTCTAACTGCAAAAAGAACACCAGGTCTCGTAAAAGTTAGGTATCTCAAACTTTTCATAAGACCTTTAAAGAGAGTGGGATAAACCTTTTTCCCATTACCAAACTTTAATAACTTGATTCCCTAATTCATTGGTCACAATATTGCAATTAAGCATTTTGAATTTTTTTAAGACTTCTCTTGCATAACTTTCTTGAGAAATAAAAATATCATCTTCCATTTGCTTCACCTCTAAGCCCAAATAGTAAGACACGAACCCAAAATCAGTCATTTCTTGAATTCTTTAAACAAGATTGTGTTGTTGCTAATGAAGATGAGATCATCCACATACATACATATAAATAAAATATCACCAGCAGCATGATACTTCACATAAAGAGTATAATCATGAAGACAACAACAAACCCATTATCTTCAAAATACTTATTTATATGGTTATTCCATACCCTTGCCCCTTGCTTTAGCCCATATAAAACTTCTTTCAATCTCAACACCTTTTTTCTATGCCCTTCAACTGCAAACCCAATGGTTACTCTATATAAGCCTCCTCGTTAAGATAGCCATTGAGAAATACTGACTTCACATAAAGTTGAAAAATTTTCCACTTCATTTGAGCTGAAATAGCTAATAGCAAACAGACAATCTCTATGCGAGCAACTAGTACAAAAAACTTATCATAATCAACTCCTTGCTTCTGCTTGTATCTTTTAGCCACAAGTCTTACCTTGTATCTTTTCACATTTCCTTGAGAATCCTTCTTTGCCTTATAGACTCATTTAACGCCAATACCTTTATGTCATTTAGGATGAGTTAATAACTCCTATGTGTTGTTCTTTTATATGGATTTGATCTTGTTCTCCATGGCTTGTCTTCATCTTGCAACTTTCAGGGTTTAATCAAAATTCATTTGCTCACTTTCAAGGAAAAGACAAAACAAATTATTTATGTCAAAGTTAGTGATCTCCTCAGTTTCATCATATAGATCTTAAATGCTCTTCACATAGATCTTATAAACCAATGGTTTCATCAAAATTCATTTGTTCACTGTCAAGGAAAAGACAACAAATTATTTATGTCAAAGTTAATGATCTCCTAAGTTTCATCATATAAATCTTGAATGTTTTTCATTTTTCGTGGCCCTTCAATTGAGTTTCCTTGAGAAGTAGGTGATGCAACATGAGTCGGAGAAGGGGGTGGAGTTATCTCTTGCCAATGCACCATGGTCTCTTGACCTTGCTTTTCAAAATATGAAAAGAAATCATATATTTTATTCTTGCTTCTCCCAATTCCATGCCGCCTTTTCATCAAATTCAACACCTCTACTCACCACAATTTTGTCATTGTTTGGATTGTACAATTTGTAACCTTTTGAATTTCCATCATACCCAATGAAAACATGTGTGACATGAGATATTTCTTGTTGTGCAACACGAACATGTGCAATACTTCCAAAAACTCACAAATGGTTCCATTAGGCTTTATTTCGCTCCATGCTTCTTGGTGAGTCTTGTCTTTTACACTTAATGTTGGAGATCTGTCAGACCAATATATTGTATATGAGCATGTGCAATGCTTCCAAAAACTCGCAAATGGTTGACATTAGCCTTCATTTCACTCCATACTTCTTGGAGAGTCTCGTCTTTCACACTTGATGTTGGAGATTTATTAGACAAATATACTGCACAGGAAATCACTTCAGCCCAAAATTCTTTGGGCATGCTTTTGGCTTTCAACATTCTTCTAGTCATATTAAGAATAGTTCTATTCTTTCTCTCCGTACCTCTATTTTATTGTGGTGATCCTGAAATTGTTAAAGAGCGACGAACTCCATTAGATTCACAAAAATCATAGAATTCTTTGGAAATGAATTCACCTCCTCTATCGGTTCTTAAAAATTTTATTTCACAACCATAATATTTTTCTACAAGAGTTTTGAAAGTTTTAAAAGTAGTAAAAACATTTGATTTTTTGCTTTAAAAAATACACTTAAATCTTCTAACTAAAATCATTGATAAATAGTAGAAAATATTTATTTTTAGCAAATGAAGGTGGACTGATTGGTCCACACGCATCGGCATGCATATATTAAAGTTGCTTGGTTGTTCTTGTAGTAGCTTCTTTCAGAAAACTCCTTAAGTGCTACCCAAGTAGACGTACTTCACATAATTGATTAGAATGATTGATGAAAGGCACCATCTTTTCTTCTCCCATTGCCTTGAGTGCACCAAAGTGCAAATGGCCAAATTTCATATGCTAACACCGTGCTTCATCTTCCACACCAACTTTCAAGCATTTTGCTTCAATAGTTTTGATATTCAAGACAAATATTTTATTCTTTGACATATGCACATTCGCAATCAAATTAACATTTTGATCTCTAAGCCAAAGAAAATAATCTTTTATGTGAATTTCATATCCCTTTTCAAGAAATTGGCTCAAACTCAAAATATTATTTCTCAATTTTGGCACATAATAATCATTAATAATAAGTACATGCCCACTATTTTTTGAAGAAATTAGTATTGTACCTCTCCCTTGAATTTGGACTTTTGAAGACTTCAAAAGAAGCATTGCCATTAATCTTCTCATCAAGCTGTACAAATTTTTCTTTGTAACCACACATGTGATTGCTTGCTCCATTATCCAAGAACCACGAACTATGGTTATCATTATCTCTATCTTTACATACTGGCAACAAAGTTGTTTCCTCCCCATCTTGTTTATCGTTGACAAAATTGACTTGCTCCCCCCTTTCGTTTGAAGTGTTACAATATTCCCAAGTAAAATGGCTATATATGTGACAGCTGTAACATTTAACATTGAACTTGTTTAAATTTCTATAGTTACTCTTCTGCTTCCTCTTCCACGGCCTCTACTTGACTGTTGGTTTTTATCTTCATTTTTTGCATCATTTTGAGTGTCATTTCTTTTAGACACTTGGCCATGACCATGACTATGGCCTCAACCTCTTCCTTGTCCGCTT